ATGATGATGATGATGATGATGATGATGATGATGATGATGATGATGATGATGATGATAGCTAGACCGTTGAAGTTGGCAGCCATTCTTCACGGAGAACCCTTCGCAAGTACTTTCGGGGCAAAAAGAAACGTGGTGAATTGTTGTGGGAGGCTGAAGTAGCAGGTAATCCTCTCACTTGGGGACTAAACGCCACCCCTTTGTGACTCCTGGAATGCGGTAATTCACAAGGCCATCTATTTGGTAGCTAAGAAAGCTCTTCCAGAGATTGGGATCGACCGGTAGAGACTTCAGAAAGCCAACCAACCAGAACACAAATCACCCGCCAATCACTCAGCGCCAGGCCGAATGATGGGCAAATAGACTGGGTGAACATCCATGACTCGGAAAGCAACACGGCTCAGTTTTGTATTTGTGTTGTTTCCTTATGTTTCTTTTTTTTGTTTAGCCCGCTCCTTCTTCATGAAGTAGGTGCCTACTTAACTAAATTCGGGAGCAAGCTCCTAGCAACTGGACGCAGGATAGCTCGCACTTCATGATTTTGTTCCAGCAATGGCTTCCAACCTAATAGCGATGACCCTCCAACTAATGATTTGCAGTGAAGGCCATCTTTTTGCAGTCATGATGCAGGCCTTCCATCTAAGTCCTGTTTCCTAACAAGTAGCTCCTGGCTCCTACGAACGGAGCGATCGGACGCGAACCGAACGGAACGATCGAACGCCGCTCGGTCGCCCCGGACGGAGGGACCCGCTGTTCTTCCCCCGGGACCCGCGGCACCCGCATCCAGAGGGACTCTTTGAGCTCGTTGAGGCTTCTGGGATTCACCATGTTCGGATAATTGCACAGCAGGTCGGTGTCCTGCGGGTGTTTATGCCAACACCGGGCATGTAACCGTGTGTAACAAAGAGCGGAGCGTTTCGATTGGTTTGGTTGAGGATGAGTTGGACGTTCTCATTGCCTATAAACAAGATCCTGCTTTGAGAGATCTGTTGATGGTCTTCGTGCATCTTGCTGTCCATTCTGAATCCAACTCTCCCAACCCATGAGGCTGGATGGAAGGTTGCCAAGGACGTGTTGAGATCAGTTTAACCCTCCAAACAGGCGGGGGTCTGACCTCTTCATGGGCATCTTCCTGTGGACTTGGGGCCTGACCCCACCAAAAACGATGGCCTCCAACCTAGAAGCGATGCCCATACACTCCATGGGACTGCCATATATGCCTACATTGACCCCTAAAACCACCCCTGGCCGTTTCTCGGCAGTCCTATGGCAGTCCCAAGCAGGTCGTGTCTGGGATGGCCGCATCGACCCGACCCGACCCGACAGATCTTCGTCCTGGATGACAAACTCTGGCTGCGCAGAAATGCTCATGAAGCCGATCCATGGCAAACCACTTCGACTGAGCACCTGAGACCGGCGAATCGGGCCGAGCCTTTCTTTCCCCTGGTGTGTTTCACACCCCTGGTGTCCGATGTGTCCCCGGTTTTCAGGGGAAGAAACATGGGGGTGAAGATGCACCCTGGGTCTTCCAAACACGCCCCGGTGCATCAGCCCCTCTGAACGATGCGTCGGATCAGCCTGCCGCCATGTTGGTGTCTGAAGGCTCCGCCGCCGACGGGCCGACGAGATCGGGTTCGGTGTTGGCAGGGAGCAACGAAAACCTGCAGGTGCTGGGCTTGGTCTGTAAGGCATCGTGCATACAAGTCGATGGGTGGGTCCACGCCCGGATACATGCAGTCTGATGCAGATGTTGCTTGAACAAAATAACCCCAGTCTTCGAAGGCGTAAATATATGGGAACGACCTGGTTTTTGTAGTGTAACCCTTAGTAAAGAATGGTTGTTCAGGATTTAGGCAATTGTTAAATCAATGGTGGTTTGAAATGGATTGAATCCTAAGGAATATTTAATCGATTCTTTTTCGAACGCTGAAGTCCTTGTGGCAGCTGTGGGACGTATCAAACCTCAACAAGCAGTAAATGTTGTGCAAAGTTCAAAGGATGTCTTACCAGCTTCTTCAAAGTTACCTTTTGAAGGTTCCTAAGTGACCCTTAGGAGGCTTAAGTGACCTCAAACCAGGTTATCAAGTTCGATCACTTTGAAGAACCAGGTACTTTTTCGTGCGTTCACTTCGCGCGGAACTCGCTTCTCGCGTGACCTGGGTGCACCCCAGGGTGATGCTCGAGGCAAAGGCCACATCAAAGCTGCTCCTCGGCACGCTGACCGCGGCGGAAATCATTCACCAGAATCCACCACAGCTCCGGACGCAGAAGATGAAGACGGAGCATCCGAGAACTCGACAGGAATCTCCATGGATCACAAAAGCACCGATGCATTGATCTACCAATGTCTACCCTTCCAAGCTGGGTCGTGATGAATTTCGATGTGTTCCAGTGGGTAGTTTCGTCTTCATGTTTGGAGAGGGCACCCCTTCCATTGGCATAGAGACATTGGCATCGGCCAACATCAGACATGCCAAACACCGGAACTGCCTTCGAAACCCAGTTTCGACCCGATTCGACCCATCTCTCCATCTGTTGGAGACTAAGGCTCTGCTCGAGCAGCTTCTTCAAATCATCCGTCACCCCGAAGAGCGGCTTGTCGACCATCCGCCGGTAGTTCCACCTAGAAGAAGCCAGGTGACAGCTACCACTTCTCGAAGCTCACCATGGGTTTCTGGTTCGAGGGGATGACCGGTTCTTGCCTCTTCGAACCCCATTTTCTTGGGGAGGCACCAAGGCACCCAGGTCCATGTCGAGACTCAGACACGGAGCCTGAAAGAAAGGGGAGCTGGGCACCTGGGCACCCTGGGCAGACCACCGAAAAAGCTCCGAACTCCTAGCGTCCGAGCCCCGCGACGAACGCGTCAGAAATCGCTTCGTTCGTCGCGATGCCAGAGCCCCGTTCGTAATTCGCGTCCTGTTCTAATAGAAAAGTATTGGACCTGGCACCCGGTTGGGTGGGGGCGGGAGGTTGTGACTCTCAGCCACAAAAATATCCAAAAAGGTCTGACCATTGACCATTTTTCATTCTGAGGGCGAGAGGCCACGTGCTCTTGCGTTAAAAGTGGAGGGAATGGTCGATAAAAGGATGCACTCTCCAATTACTTCACAGTCCATGTCCTCACGATGTCATCCGCAGCTCATCTGCAGCGAAAATCCTCATGTCTCTCATTGCACCAAGCCACAGGTACTCCAAGAAGGCGGCAATCTTCTGATGCGCGGCCAAATTCTTCATATCCGGAATCCTGAGGTTCGCTTCGCTTCTCGAGAGATAATCTCGCAGCGTTCCTACACGGCGTCGAAGGCGGAAACGAGATGTCCGGATGTCAAGGTGACAACGAGGAGATGAACACCATGAGGTGTCTGTGGGGTGAACTCATCCAACTCATCTTGCTTCATTTCCCCAGCAATGCCCTAATTTGTTGTTCTTCTTTCAATGAAATGGTTCCAGGTGCACTTCTTTCTGAGATGTTCTCTGGTACACCTCCCAAACAATAAAAACCTGATGCACCGTTTTGGGGGACACCCCCACCCTTTTTGGGGTCCTTTTCTTCGGTGCACCGAGGGGTGTCTCTAAGCCTCCCAAAAGGGTAGCTAGGTGAATGAGCCAAGTGTTCGCCCAAGTCCTTGGCAAGATGTCTCTGCAAACTCTCTCGCAGGGGTCGAGGCTTTTCCGGAGGAAGTTCATTCTTCATCGTGCTGAAGAATGAACTCCCCCAAATGTCACCGAATCTCCTCCTGAACCTGTGAAGACCACTTTGACTTCAGGTTCTGATCAAGTCATTCCAAGTCATGCCAAATCATCAAAGGTCTCCAAGTGTTTTCAAGCACATCCCTGACCTTTGCAGAAACAAACACACCGCCAATCGTAGAGCTAACGAGTGGAGAATAGACTAGTCGTTATGATTTTCTGACAGTGAGACGGGTTGATCTGCATCAACGGCTTAACCTTTATGACCATTGAAACTTAAGCAAAGAAAAGAATGACCTGGTGATCATGATCTGTGATGCGATTGACCAGCCTGCCCTGCAACCTGATGGTTCCTTCAAAGGCTCTTGATGGACTCAATTCCACCATCTTCGGGACCCAGGTGTAGCAATCTTGCACGGCCGATGCCTGAAGATCCGAGCTCGAACAAGTCGGTCTCTTGGAACAAACCCTTAGAGTGGAAAATGACTCATTTTAACCACCGGCGGTGGATGGATTGACTAGCAGGTGGAGTAGTTCATGAGTCGAAATGGAAGTTCTGGCAAAGATGAGCAAAGGCTTTTTCAAGTGTTGCATCCGATCTCCGTCCTCCGACCAAGATCGCAGTGGCAGTCGGGTGTGGTCTGATCGCAAGCGGTGAAATCTTGTGGTATTCGCTACCTTAGACCCTGGTGTATAGAATCATTCCTGCCATTCCCTCCAAAAAAGAATAGGCACAAACATGTACCAGGGCCCCCGGTCTAGGTTAATGGACACCCCTTGTCCTCTAACCGGCTGTTCGACACGCCTTAGGAGGCCCTGGTAAGAGCCTGGGATCCAACAGCCTTGGGCCTTGGGTCCTAGCAGATTGCAAAACGGAAAAAGTAACGATCTTCCAACACAAAAATCACATTACGTTTCACAACATGAAAGTGTACCAGGACCCTGCAAGGGGTGTCTATTTATATGCCAGCTGTTGAGCTGTGTCCATTAAGCACCCCGACTCGGGGTCCTGGTATACCTATATAAGGTGTTCATTCCCAGAAATCCTGCACCATTTTTCTGGGAGAATCTACCAAATATCCATGGACCGGTCGTATTCTGACGTCCAAGTCACTTCAACCAAAACCCACCCACCCGGGGGGCCACACTGTGTGGCGCGCGCGCGCGCGCCGCGTGGCCAGCGCGTTCGTCCGGTGCCGTGCACACCTTCGGGGAACCAGCCATGGGCTTCGCTGGAGTTGGGCAGCACGAAGGTCACCTGTTTGGGCAGCGACCGAGCGATTGGAGAGACTGGGCCATGCGTGGCCACGCTCGTTTGGTCGAGAAAGACGACTGAAGCGGTCGACACGTTTGATGTGAAATGTGTGTCTTTGTCCATGTTCTCCCTTCGAAGAAGATGGAGAGAAATGTCTTTGAAGTGTCTGACTGTGACTGTGTGTGTTGATGTTCTTTCTTTTAAAGAGATCTTTCTGATTCAAACAACATATTGAAAATATGGTTCATGTCTTCACACTTCTTCACGCCTGCAAGCAGTCTGCCGAGTCGGGATGACTGGAAAGACTCGCGGGGAGCAAGAGTGGTGGAACGACGTGGCACTAGAGACCGTTTTCCCACTTCACAGTGGACAAAAGTATCTGAATACAACACAATACAACATGGAACCCCACCCATCATGTTCAGGTGGTCTGTGGAGGTCCTTTTCATCTCCACATTCCACATGTCCATGCTCATGTCTCCACGGTCTCTTTCGCCCAAAAAGAAGCCATCTCGGAGTCCATCTCGGCGCCTGATGTCCTCGTTCCAGCAGCGCCTCGATGATGGGTACCAGACTCAACTGATGGCTTTTCATGATTCCACCTGAGCACCGAGGAGCGGACGTTCCAAACACCCTCCCTCCACGGCATGAGTCGAGACGCGGGGCGCCCTTTTCGTCCCCGTCTCCGCCCCTGGAAAAGGAGTCGCAGAGATACCGATGGAAGAAGACGCCGAGGCGTCTTGCAGGTCCCCTACTTGTAGCGATGGCCTCCAACCTCCTTGCGATGGCCTCCACCTAACATAGCGTCCTTGTTACTAGTAGCGTCCTTGTTCCTAGTAGCGATGCCAGGAGCCCCGTTCCACCCAGAGCCTTTGGTTCACCGCACCTGTCACGAGGATGTGCTTGGGCGCCACCGCTATCTGCGCCGCCCAAGCACTGGTCGTGCTCGTGATCGCGGCCAGCAGGAGCGGCCATGGCGCCATGGTGGGTTGCGACCCGGCCCGAACCAAGTTGGGGACCCAGATCCGAGTAGAACTAGGTAGGTCTTCCAAAAGCGACCAAGGGGGAGGAGGGAAGTCTTCAGATTCTCTTCTACATGTGCTGGTTCGTTGGTGATTTGGGCTGGTGCGTTGGTGAATTCTGGACGGCCTTTGCGCAGGGCGTGTTGGAGCTTCTTGAAGATCCAGCCCGCGAAGAGAACAGCGGATTGAACTGCGTTCATGCCAAACCTTCCAGTACCTGCAGGAAACCTATGGAAACCTGTGCTGAAAGTAAGCGGAGGGCCTCCAGGCCATTCCCCTTCCAGAATTCAAGACAAGCCTTTGAAAGGTCAACTCTTTGATGACCCGATTGGGTCTGCAAAGGCTTGGTGTGGCCAAGATCGATGGCATGTCATCTGTGGCATGTCATCAGCCTGCACCTGCTTGAGCCACCACATCCATTCCCGGTCGTACCCATTCCGTCAAAAGATCTGTCACTTTACAACATCTGCATGAAGATGAAGAACGAAAAAGGTCTTGCACCACCCAGAAAACAGACTGACCCTCCAAAGAAAACAGACTGACCCTCCAAAGAAAACAGACTGACCCTCCAAAGAAAACAAAAAAAACAAGCACGTCCAACCACCAAGTTGGGGTAGCTGGAGGTCCATGGTTCTGAACAAGTGAAGTCCAAGGGGAGAAGCACATTGCTAGGGTGGAGGCCATCGCGGGTCGTAGGTTGGAGGCCATCGCCATTAGTAGCTCAAAAAAAGATTGTGTTTTTTTTCTTAATTTAATGAGTTTGGAGGCTCAGCGCTTGGTGTATTGGTGTGCATTGCATCACCTGTAGGGTCAAGAGGCTTCACTCCCCTTCTTTGGTTGGACGCCACTGTGTAGCTTGAAGATCCCAAATACTCCTCCCACTCTGAACGCTTGTTTCCTGACAGGGGGGGAGGTCAAGGGAGCATGATGTGGCATGCAAAGATGGCTTCTGCATGTCGTTGCCTCTTTGAATCCCTGGACTTCTAGCCCCATAGTCCTCGATCGTCGTAGAGCACACCCACCAGCATCAAGACCTTCAAGAACCAGATCCACCAAGACTCTCTTTAAAACATCCATCATCGAACTCAGAAGAGAACTGCGAACGAGCGCGCGAACTGCTTATGCGCCCCAACTTGAACCAACTCGCTGGCCGCCCAGCGCAGCACCGGCAGCAAGTCCGAGTCCTCACGGGTGCCGGAGTGCCACTGTTTTTTGGGCTGGAAGGAGTCTGAAGGTTTAGTTAAGAATGTTTCTTCAGATCTGAAGATCTTCAGGTAGATTAAGAGTGCTACTAACTAAAACTGGAGTTAAGACTACTGCATGGTAGTAATGCTTCTTCTTGTTCCCTTTGGGTTCCCTACCTTGTTCCTATAAGTAAGGCGCTAGGAGCGCCCCGTCCGTAGCGCCCGAAGGTTCCAAGTCTTCGCGATGGAGACGCCCCCGTGGGGACGGGCCCAATGGCAAACCCGCTGCGATGGTCTCCCACGACTCAGACTCCAGGTTGGATTCGAGTGGCCAAGCGCGCACAGGCCAAAAGAAGTTGTGGCGTAACAAGAAGCTACTAGGAACAAAGGGCATCGCTACTAGGAACAAGAAGCTACTAGGGACAAAGGGCATGGCATGGCTAGTAGCAAGGTCACATCCTTCAACCTCTCAGACCAAAACACCCCACGTGAGTATGGCGCATGGGGCTCGAGAGAACTCTTTTTTTCAGCTCACCTTGGCTCTTCCAACACACAGGGGGAGCTGGACAGAAGTGATACAAAGGCTCCAAGGCAGCGGTAGTTGAAAATGGCGACCATCGAACTGACTCAACCCAGGGTACTGTATGTGTGCCTCAACACACCCACTATATCATGTGCCTTTGCAGAAATAAAAGTGAACCACCATCCCGTCATATCCCGTCTCCCCAAAAGGTACCGACCACGGCGTGCGGAGCTCCGCCTGGTACAACCGCGTCCGGAGCTCAGCCTGGAGGTCAGGTCGCTCAAAAAACCTAAGAACCAAGGTGCGACACCGGAAAAAAAGAAGTGGATGGTCCCTGTGTTTTTTGGTGTCGACTTTCCTAAACGAACAGGTGAGACCTTCCTCACGAAACGTGACGAGTCATCGGAGTGAAATGGCTTCTCAAGTGGAGTGAAAGCCACCATCTTGTATATGCCAGGACCCTCCTGTCGGGGTGTCTATTTATAGCCCCTGAACGCTCTGATTCGGAATGTCCACTCGCCACCCCGAAGGGTGGTGAGCCCTGGTATAGAGGAAAAATGGGGTGTTCCAAGGAACATGATCCGTTTCCCAGCTCCATGGAGTGAGCGAGCGGTCCGCGGCCGATGCCGATGCCGTCTTCGCCGCTGGAGCCCGACCCGACCGACCCGACCAACCTCGCGTCGGTAGGTCAAGCAAGCATCGGGTGTTCACCCACAGTGCCACAGCCAGGTATCATAAGTATATAGATCCATAGACCAATCAGAAAATCCACCAACCGATTGAATTAAGATCCGCCATCCATGATCTGAGCCTTCTTTCAGCTTTCTCGGAAAAAACAAAAGCTCTGCCAACCGTGGCGACTGACTTTAAGGAGGCACTGCTGGCTTTCCAGGGGCTGCAAAGACGGAAAAAGCACCCCAAGCGGTGGTAGTGGACACCCCTAGAAACTCCTTGGGGGGGGCCGTAGTGGTAGTGCATCAACGTCATGGAGCAAAAAAGGTGTCTTTGTTCTGGTCCTAAGCAGTTTCGCTTCTTTTCCAGTCTGTGGTCGTACTGTTGTCGTCCCATACTGGTGGTTGTCAAAGCGCGTAAAATAGCAACATACAAAGAACACATGAAAATGAGAAGTCGATACACGCGCGGTATTGGAACAAAAATGACCGAACAATTACTAGCATGTCTCCTGTGCTTTATTATTTCTATATTTTCGCCATCAACCAAGAGGAAAATCCTTTGAATGGAGTCTGCTGGTGAAAGGAGCCAGCCACAATGTTCAAGACTTGCACAGTACGTCACTTCTCATGAAGAAGAGTGAAAAACTCCTTTTTGGACAAGTGCAGCAACACCTTACGTGAACACTCATTTACGCCGCTTACGCCACCCGTCGCGTTTTCTCGCGTGGAGCACACGACGGTCGCCCCCGGAGAGGCGAGTTTGCGTCCGGCCCCGTTGGACCGGACTTCACCGGTTGGAACTGCTTTGGTTCTCCAATTCCATCGGGTTTGCGTCCCGGGTGTCCCGGAGTATGAGTGTCAGACGTGGAGTATGTTCAGGTTGCCACACGTCACGACCGACGGTACAAACAGAACTCCGAAACAGCGATGTCCCACTTCCCAGACACGACCCGGACTGCCATAGGACTGCCGCCCCAGACAGACCCCAGGTCAACCACCCCAACTGATTGGCACATCTGGCAGTCACATGGAGTGTCTGGGCTTTAACAGAAAATACAAAACCAGCGGCCCAATCGATGTCTGACCCAAGCCATGGAACCCGAGGGGCAAGCAGACGTGCGGCCCGCACCCACCGCTCCCTCTCTTGGTGAACCAATGGGGCCATACCCTGACGGGATTCAGCAGCCTTCAAGAAGCACCTCTTGCTGCACCTCTATTTTCTTTCGAAGCTCCTGATAAGACTTCCTCTTTTGAAAAAAAATGTCAAATCCACATCTATGTCAAATCCACGATCACAGGAAAGAAAACAGAAAAACCTCACAACCTCGGCCCCCAAACTCGCGGCGAAACTCGCGGCGTGGCGCGGCGCTCCGCTCACCTCGAGTTCTTGCTCTTTCGCCCGGAGTGCCTGGGCACGATCTCGCGAACACGAAGCCGTCCGAGGATGGACTGCACGAAGCCTCAAGGCACCGAGGGAGGTGGAAAGAGCACTAGATCCGTTGAACTCTCGACTGCTCGGCTGGAAAGAGCTCGGGTCTCGAGAAAGAGCTCAGCTGGAATCCGGGGGTCTTTAGCCCTGTAGGTTCGGAATATGAGCGCTGATTCGGTGCGTTGGAGAGAAGATGGCAAAACTGTACGATTTGGGCAAGTGGACGATATCAGGTGTGTTTCTGCAAGTGTGGGAAGTGTTGGTATAGTGGTTACATACCTACCTGGAAACCCAAAGAACCAGAACACGGCAATTGAGATCATGACAAGTGGTTGCTTCTTTTTCCAGAAACATCCAGCTGTTTCTGGTTGCTTCTGGTTTCGGGGGTTTCCAGGTACATGATTCTGCATGTGTGCATTCCCTTTCGACCAGCCCATTGGTCGACTCCGGCATACCTCGTCGACGGTGAAGCACATTCCTTCCCCTTTTGGACAAGAAGTTATGTCAACAGAAATGAAGTCCAAACTAATAGCGATGGCCTCCACCCTACTAGCGATGGCCTCCAACCTACCATATGTGCTCCTTTAATTACCATATTAATTATTATGTAACATTCCAAATGACGCTGTTCCGATTCCTTTAGCACATGCTTGTCCACTTACCACAGATTCCGAGAAGTCCAGTTCAACTATCTCTGGCACCACCAAAGTGTTCAGGACATTCTTTTGGAATCACCTAGTTAGACCAGTGTTTAGATAGTCGACTGCACTCTCAGGGTGTCTTTTTTTTGTGCGTTCTGGTAACTTGGGTGGTCCCGGATCTTTGTTTC